GCCCAATGTCATCCAGTTGGCTTTCATGGCTAAGGCGGGACTAGAACCTACTGTCTCCTGGGCCTTCACGATTAGAACAAACTGACTTTCTCCTAGTCTTCCATATATTCAATTAAGCCCTTGTTTGTCACAGTCACGTGATCCATGATTGGTTGCTTTATTATTATCAATACAGACACAGAGAAGAGTCAACAGGAAGATTGAAAAAATAAAGATGGCAGCCATGACTACCCAATCAAAGGCTTTCCCCCTTTTTATCAATATAGGTAGTCCTCGACTTTCAACAGTTCATTTAGGGACCATATAAAGTTACAATAGCACTGAAAAAGTGACTTGTGATTGTTGTTCACACTTTCAACCTTTGGAGCATCCCCATGATCATGTGATCAAAATTCAGGTGCTTGGCTGTGCCCCAAGGTCATGTGATCACCTTTTGTGACCTTCTGACAAGCAAAGTCAGTGGGGCAGCCAGATTTACTTAACAACCGTGTTACTAACTTAATAACTGCAGCGATTCACTTAATAACTTTGGCAAGAAAGGTCACAAAATGGGGCAAAACTCACTTAACTAATGTCTCACTTAACCACAGAAATGTTGGACTCTGTTGTAGTCGTAAATCAAGGATTACCTGTATTGGGACAGGGATGGAGATGGGAGTAGTTCTAAGCAGCATCCTTCTGCATCGTGTGTCTCTTTGTAGATTAGTTTATTTATAGCAACGTGTTTAATATTTTTATATAAGTCACATCTTCCCATTTTGCAACTATAACCTTGGTCAGCTGACAGCAAATTAAGATTCTCAGAAATAATTAGCAAAGAAGTTGCAACAGCAATCAGTATCCCATGTGCCAAAGATCCAGTGATATCCTTTTGTCTTTCAAATCAAGAAGAAAAAGAAATCCATAGAAATCTCCTAACACTCCAGCCCAAGGGATCAACCCAATTTTTAACAACTTACGGATGCTAAAACAGGGGTAGATTATCTTCTGCTTCTGGGTTTGCTTACCATGTTACCACTCGAAAGAGCTTGCTCAAACTGGGGGGTCATTTTGTAGTGGTCCAAGGCCATGAAAAGAGTGTTCATCACAATGCAAAGTGTGATGATGAGATCGGTAAAGGGGTCCATCACAACCACACCCACTTTCTTCTTTATTTTCTGCCACAGAGGGCAACAGTTCCAGATAAGATACTTGCGGGCTAACTTGTTCAAGACGCGAGGCCATTTTCGATCTGATTCTTCAAGCTCTAAATAAGAAGGAGGAGGAGGGGGGAGGAGGAGGAAGAGGAAGGAGAAGAAGGAGAAGGAGAAGGGGAAGGGGAAGAGGAAGAGGAAGAGGAAGAGGAAGAGGAAGAAGAAGAAGAAGAAGAAGAAGAAGAAGAAGAAGAAGAAGAAGA